TAAACGAAAAATCAAGATTTAATGGTTATTTCAACTCTGATTTTGATGATTTTTTTATAGCTACACTCCTTGACCCTATATGAATACAATGACTCAATTTGATCTTCAATTTAAAATATTTTCACTAGTGATACCACAAAATCTTATGTTGTATTTAATGAAAGTATAAATTAAAAAGGGTCGTCTATTGTGAAGTAAAGATGACGGTTTTTTTAAAAAAAGGTCGTCTATTATATGAAAAGATGACGGTTTGTTTTTAAAAAGGGTCGTCTATTGTGAAGTAAAGATGACGGTTTTTTTAAAAAAAGGTCGTCTATTATATGAAAAGATGACGGTTTGTTTTTAAAAAGGGTCGTCTATTGTGAAGTAAAGATGACGGTTTTTTAAAAACAAGATTTAACGGTTATTTCAACTTTGATTTTGATGATTTTTTACAGCTACACTCCTTGAACCTATATGAATACAATGACTCAATTTGATTTTCAATTTAAAATATTTACACTAGTGGATACCACAAAGTCTTATGTTATATTTAATAAAAGTATAAATAAACTCTTGATTGTTAGTGAATATATTGTTTTGATGGCATATGCATTCTACGAAACTAGTTTCAATGATCCAACCGTCAAACTTGTTTGTTTATACTTCGAGATCATATACACCAAAATTCAGAAAAAATAAACATTAAGAGATCAATTTATGGGACAAAACATTTCGACGGTTATAAACGAAAAATCAAGATTTAATGGTTATTTCAACTCTGATTTTGATGATTTTTTTACAGCTACACTCCTTGACCCTATATGAATACACTGACTGCATTCGATCGTCAATTTAAAATATTCACTAGTGGATACCACAAAATCTTATGTTATATTTAATGAAAGTATAAATAATCTCTTAATTGTTAGTGAATATATTGTTTTGATGGCATACGCATTCTACGAAACTAGTTTCAACGATCCAACCGTCAAACTTGTTTGTTTATAATTCGAGATCATATACGCCAAAATTCAGAAAAAATAAACATTAAGAGATCAAGTAATGGGACAAAACATTTCGACGGTTATAAAAGAAAATTCAAGATTTAACGGTTATTTCAACTCTGATTTTGATGATTTTTTTATAGCTACACTCCTTGACCCTATATGAATACAATGACTGCATTCGATCGTTAATTTAAAATATTTACACTAGTGGATACCACAAAATCTTATGTTGTGTATTTAATGAAAGTTTATAAACTCTTAATTGTTAGTGAATATATTGTTTTGATGGCATACGCATTCTACAAAACTAGTTTCAATGATCCAACCACCAAACTTGTTTGTTTATACTTCGAGATCATATACGCCAACAATCGAAAAAAATAAACATTCAGAGATCAAGTAATAGGACAAAACTTTTCGACGGTTATAAACGAAAAATCATGATTTAACGGTTATTTCAATTTCGATTTTGATGATTTTTTACAGCTACATTCCTTGACCCTATATGAATACAATGAACCAATTTGATCGTCAATTTAAAATATATATTTTCTAACAAAAACCCAATCCGAACTACAATAATATATTTTTCTAACAAAAGAATTTTTTTATTTTATTTATTTTAGTATAGACTTTGCGAGACGAAGATTATTATTTCGTCGCTCAAAAGTCATCCAAATTTTTTTTAATTTTTTTTATAATTTTAGTAAAGACTTTGCGAGACGAAGATTATTATTTCGTCACGCAAAGGCATCCAAAAAAATTTTAAAAATAATTTTTTTATTATTTATTTTTGTAAATACTTTGCGAGACGAATCACTATTCGTCGCGCAAAACTCTGTGCACCGAATTCTATTATTTGTCGCGCAAAGTCACTTTGTGCGACGATTTGTTTTTCGTTGCGCAAAATTGAGTCGCGTAAGACTTTGAGCGACGATGATTTGTATTTGTCGTGCAAAGTCACTTTGCGCGACGAATTTTGTTTCGTCGCGCAAAGTTTGGTCGCGCAAGGTTTTTTTTTAGTAGTGCTTACAATTAGTAAACGTTGGGATTGCAAAATAGACAACGTACCAAATAAAATGGACCATACCCAAATATTGACAAAGATTAAATAAACAATCCCAGGGTTAAATGTACATACAGACTATAATTTGTTTCACAACAATATTACATGACATTGGTCTTTGACCGATAAATTATTGTGTGGTAACTGGAGTACAGCTACATGGTAAAATTTGTGCATGTGCTATAATATAGGTGGAGGAGGGTTGATAGTTCCCCCGGTTATGGAATATTATCACTAAATCTACTTATATTATAACACGTAACCTTACTCCAATACTAGTATATAATTACTTATCCCTAGCATCATTAAAAAATATCTCATGCCTTGTTTTCGTCACGAAAATCTGAACCAATGGTTTTAACATTCAAGAAACTACTTAATCAATTTTCAATAAATGCATGCACTGAGTTGGGTTAAGAGCAGTTAGCCGTGCACTTAAGGGCTTGTGTTTGAACCTCTCCTAGGCCAATATCATTTGTATTGAAGAAAAAAACTTATATGGTAGTATATTCAGGCATATGTGTAATAGTTATTTTTGTTGATAATCTAGAATATTATTTATTTGACTACAATAATAGAAAATGTTATTGCAGAATATTACAATGCAAAAGACACTACAAAAAAAAGTGGCAACAGTTACCATTATGTCATCAAATTTGGTAATCATTGTGGGAGTTACTAAAGGTTTTAGTCACATTTTTTGACTTTTTTTGTGACTAAAAAGGCTTTTAGTCACATTTTTTTGCTTTTTTTAAGTAACTAAAGCCTTTAGTAACCCCACAACAGTCACTAAATGTCACCAAA